TATATATATATATATATATATATATAAAGAAGAGCAACAAAACATTTAATTTTATTATCATGCATTAAATTTTATTCTCCCTCCAAAATTTTCAGCATTCAATTTCATTTTTAAGTTACAAAATAACTTACTTAAATGCCATAAATTATGAGCATAAACCAATCAAGGGAGTTACAAAATTATACTCAAATTTTAAGTCACACCCACTCATGAAAATGGCCGGGTGTATTAGCATAAAGAAAATAGTTGTAACGGCTCTTCCATAGCAATTACTTGATCAAAATCAACTTTGAGAATTATTTTCTTAATTTATATTTTTTTCATGAATTAAATTATGATTTATTTTTAGAGAAGATACTATAGTTTAATCTAAAGAATGTTCCATTCCAAATAATGATACACAAAATCATTAACCCAAAAAGGAAATTAACAAAATAGAAATAATAAAGGAAAAATGACCAAATTTGCAGCTCATTTGATACATGTGCCATTTTGGGAGTTGGCTTGTAATTTTTGCTGTTTAAATTAAAAGCATCTACAATGCATTCAGTTTAGTTTTGCCTACGTGACATGTAAATTAACTCAAGTCTTGGATGACGTGGATAAAATTATATAAAATTAACGAAATTTACTCCTATGCAAATATACTAGGTCTCTACTTGGGTTTAAAATAAACTTAAGAGTAGACCGAGTCTCTTTTTTTTGTCACATCAGCAAGACCTAGTTCACTTGCACTTGCATTGGAGAATATATATTTTTTAAAACCGAGTTTCTTTTCTGGGTAATTTTTTTGAATGAACCTAAAGCATTGTAGATGTTATAAAATATAAAATTTGAATAGCTGATATCATAATTTCATTCATAATCCTTTTGAATTATTACCTAAATTAACTCCTTTCAATATAGAAATTATTCAATGTTCTAATTATGCTCAAAATGAACCTACCCACAATCCTAAACCACTATATTAAAATGCCTATCTCCCGTTCTCCACAGAAATAAATCACAATACATCTGAAAAAAAAAGGTCAAATTTCAAGGGAAAAAAAACGGAGATGAAAATTGTTTTCTTGGCCTGGATTTTAGTCCAAATCAGCATGTCAATCTTACCAACACAATCAAAGTATTACTCCGAAAGCGTGCCCTACAAGCCCCGAGCCGAGAAAGTAACCCACCTCCGTTTCTACCTCCACGACATCCTGAGCGGGAAAAAGCCGACCGCCGTCAAAATCGCCGGAGCAAACTTCACCGGCGACCCAACACCGTTCGGCGACACGTTGGCCATCGACGACCCGCTCACAGAGGGTCCGGAGGCCAAGTCAAGGGTTGTGGGGAACGCGCGTGGGATCTACGTGTCGTCGAGCCAAGACGAGAAACCGACACTTGTATTGTACGTCGACTTAGGATTCACATCTGGTAGGTTCAACGGGAGCTCGTTGAGCGTTTTCTCCCGAAATCCGATAACCGAGACGAACCGTGAGTTAGCGGTGGTCGGGGGGAGAGGTCAGTTCCGGTTCGCGAAGGGTTTTGTGCTCGTGAGGACACACTCGCTCGATACGGTTAGCGGTGATGCAGTGCTCGAGTACAATGTGGAGGTCGTGCATTATTGAGGGTATTATCGTCATTGTTATTGTTAGTAGTGTCGCGTGCGTGTTTGCACGTACGCGATGAAAATGTTACTCTCTCCGTTTTAAAATACATGTTGTATGTGATATTTATTTTTGCAAACTAATGTCGTCGTAATTTTATTTTATTTTATTGATATTTGGAGGGAGAGGAAAAAAATAATAATAAAATATCAATCAATCATTCTCACAGATGATCACAACAATTTTAACTCACTGATTATCTATCACTTTTTATAATTTTTCTATGACTTTGCATCACATCAACTTTAATCATTACATTTTAATTATTGTTTAATTTTAAATCTACTTTATTCAAAACTAGTATTCGACCATGTGCATTTGCACAGATGTAAATAAAAAATTATAAGTTATTTTGTATGCATATAATACTAAAATTATAGGTTAAGTAATTGTATTATATTTTAAACATAGAGTATTATGAGTTAAATTTATGCATATAATATTAAATTATAAATTAGATAATGGTATTATGTTTTAAAATTTGATCATTGGTTAAAAGAAATAGTACATAATGATTTGATTGCATATGAATCACAATATTGATTGCATAAATGTAATAACTAATGTAATTTTGGTAAATTTGAGGGATCATAACCAATTAATTAGTTAAAAAATAATAAAATTATTATAACAATTACTTATGTGATTTTAACTAATTTTACTATGACGTTAAAATAATTGTTTTTTAAAAATAATCACTTAATCAGATAAAGAAATACAATATAGATTTTAGAATAAATAGCTTGAACAAAACGTTTTTACAATATAGTTTTTATGTTTATTTAAATATCATATGATTTAGTGTAAAATATAATTATTAATTTTAATAATAACTATTATATTATTACTCAATTTGTGAATTAACATAAAATATAATTAATCCAAAAAAGTACGAGAAAATATTTTATCATTATTAGGATATGGTGAATTAATGTAAATAATAATAATAATAATAATAATAATAATAATAATAATAATAATGATGATGGATTGTAACTGTTATTAATATACTTAAATGTTGACTATAGGTTACATATGGATCGGGAAATATATTTAAAACTCTTTAAAATTCAAATATTCTAATGGCAAACTCAATTATTCAACTCAATTTAGTGGTTGATTACATGTACTTTTTGAAATTCTTATGGGTCTTGGAGCTGCGGCATACTGGCTTAAATTCCTCTGGTGATATCTTTAACTAGGCCCATTGGCATAACGAGTGGGCCTAATCTAACTTTTATGGGTCCGTTAGTCTAACTTAAATATAAATAAGCTAACTTAAATTCAAACAATAGCATTATTCTCAATTATTTTAGAAAAATATCCCAATTCAACACTATCACTTCCTTTTTGTGGTTGGTGGGAGCTGGCACCTATTTTCCATTTCCCAAATTCGGAGACTTTTCTAGAACCTACCCCACTCTCACATGCCCAATTTCCAATTAGTTCACCAGCTCTAAAAAAATTGTCTTTACCTTTCCTCCCTTATATATACACACACACTAAATAAAATCATAACACAATTCAATAATTTCCTCTTCATTTGCATACAAAAAAATAATAATAATAATAATAAAAAAAAAATGAGAACATTAGTTCTAAACTCCCTCCAATTTGTCCTCCTCTTTTCTTCACCCCTATTATGGGCCGTGGAGGCCCAAACCCAGTATGAGCCCATAACATGGGCCCATCGGCTCGAAACTAATAATGAAGTCATAACCACACTCCAATTCTATTTCCACGACAAGTTGAGCGGTCAAAACCCGAGTGTGGTGAGGATTGCCCAAGCTCTACAAACAAACAACTCATCCACACTTTTCGGGATGCTGGTGATGATCGATGACCTGTTGACCGTTGGGCCCGACCCATCTTCACGGGCCGTGGGCCGGGCCAGAGGAATGTACGGGTCGGCCGGGAAAACGGGCCTGGAACTCATCATGGTCCTTAATTACGGGTTCACGGACGGAATATATAATGGGAGCTCGTTTAGCTTATTGAGCATAAACCCGGCCTTGCAGCCCGTACGGGAAATGGCTATCGTTGGTGGGACTGGGCTTTTTAGGTTGGGCCGAGGATATGCCTTGGCCCACACGCATTGGATTGATGTGGCCACGGGTGATGCTATTGTGGGCTACAATGTTACAATTGCTACATATGTTTAAGTGGTGAAGAATTATATAAGTGTGNAGATTTGGTAAGGAAATTATTGTTGGTTCTTGAATATGAATGTATGGGTTTTTAAGCTTTTTCGTTTTTGTTTTTTTAATTTAATTTAGTTGAGTTTGTTGAACCACTTCACATTAATTGCTCCTTTTTTCAAAGCAAAATGGGAGCATATGTTCTTGTTGTGGATTCTTGTAAGGAACTTAATGCCACGAATTAAAATTACGAGAGCCTTGAAAAATAATTATACAATAGAAATTTTTTGTTAACGTGTATATATGCATAATATTTTGTGTATATTTGTGTATCTTGAAAATTAGTTAGTTTTCATACTTATTCTCTTGTAACCTATGTTGAATAAAGTGGTCGGTGCTTGTGCCCATGCGCCTTGTGATAGGTGCAGTAGCGGGTCTTGTCCACCTTGTCCTTGTCAGTGAACATCGGCTTAGGGTCCGGCAGTAACTCCTTAGCCTTGATCTCCTCGTAAACCGCCGCGGCTCCCACCGAGAAGACGCTTTGGTAACTTTCCTTCAACTCCTCAGCCCTTTGTCTTCGCTGAGCTCGGATTTCGGCGAACGACTTGCTCGGCTTCCCCGATTTTTCTTCCTTCGCCTTCGCTTTCGCCGGCGCCGACGTGGCATCAAACGTTGGGATGGACGAGGACTTTTCCGCCATTATGTAGTCCTGAGCGCGAGCGAGAAACTCTTGGTAGGTGGTCGACTTGTTCTGACACAAGGACCACCTAAATAGCGTTTTCGGTCTCAGACCACCCTGAGCGGTGATCAGCAGGGCGTCGGGATGGCACCGCTCCATATTTTGGACTCGGTCATTGAACCGAGCGATGTAGTCCTTCAGGCTCTCGTTTTCGCCCTGAACGATGTTGGAGATGGATTCCTTGGGGGCGAGATTGACCTGCGACCCGATGAAGTGTGACCGGAACGCCGACCTGAGCTGGGCCCAGGTGGAGATGGAGTGGGGGTAAAGGGAGTGATACCACCTCTGCGCCTTCGGTCCCAGCGTCAAGGAGAACATGTGACAGCGTAGGGCTTCAGAGGCACCATGCAAGTCCATCCACGAAGTGTAGAGGCCAATGTTCAGGGTCCGAGCTCCCGTCATAAAGGCCGAGCTGGGGTACTTTGATCTTCTTCGGGACGGCTTCCTGTAAGATGTCGGGGGAAAGAGGTGATGCGTTGTCTACGACTCGGGAAGTGGGTCGTATGCAAGGCTGTGGATAGACTGGGAGTGACGCCGACCTTCCAGTTCGGCGATTCTGCGTTTGAAGGCCGCGACTTCCTCAGTGTCGTGCCCTATGGCTTTGCCCCGCCTGATCACCTCCCGGAGGTCACGGTTGGCTTGGCTCTTGTTGCCTAAGCGTTGGTGGACGGAACGGCGGACGACCTGGAGGCTTCGCTCCGGGCGGCTCTCCCCCATCTGCTCGGTGGGAGCCGGTCTGGTGCTTTTGTCACGGCGGTTCTGGGCCTCGCGGTTCGGTGACTGAGCCGTGGTTTTGGATTTCGTCGGGTTCCTTTGCCCCCCGGCCTCCTTCTCGGGAGTGTGGAGTAGGGTATTGCCGGGGTTTTTCGTGGGCACCACGGTGTTTGCCCCGGCTGTCTGACTGGCGAGGGCCTTGGCGAAGACCCCCTCGAGGGCTTTGAGGACATCGGGGTGCTGCAAGGCCGCAGCAAAGGTAGGAACTGGTGGAATAGGGACGATGGGTCCCTGTTGAGCACGACGGGAGGTCTCCCCACCGTTGCGTCCACGAGGCTGGGAGCCGGACTGCTGGGTGGAGTCATCGTGGCCGGATGAAGGCATTTTGAGAAGTTTTTGGAAGTGGAAAAAAGTGGGAAAAGATGAGTGCGAAGTGGAGCTTCACAAGATCGAAAAATTGACAACAAGTAACTTATGGTGCCCTCCTTCTAGCGCCAAACTGTTGACGGACGTTTCCGGTCAACGGTTAAAAGGATGAATAATAAAAAGGTAATGTGGAAAAGACGAAGAAATACGCTGTAATTATTGTTTTATTGCTCGATCGCGAGGTCGGCCTTTCGCACGAGGTCGGCACTTGCAATATCCTTACAGATTCTTACAAAGTTTTTTCACGAGTCTAGAGAGAGAAAATGTAGACAGAGTTTTTACAGTTGGGATTCAACAACCCAAATTAAATGAAGTGGGCTGCCATTTATAGTGACCTTAAATGTGACACTGTTCAGGTACTGTTCACCAATCTTGTCATACAGTGTTCTTGCAGAGCAGTCCGGCGCTTCCCTGACAGAATTCAATGCGATTTGAGGTTTTCCTTATCATTGTCTGACAGACATTTAATGCACACATGGGGGTCATTTAATGCTGGCAGGCTTTATGCCTTGGCTAGAGGAGGTAGGTCAGCAGGCTAGGATGCCCCGTCCAATCACCAATGATTACTCTCCAAGTGGCATTATTATACTATTATCGAGATCGACATTCCTCGTTGGAGGTCCGTCCTGAGACCCCAGGTCGGCACCGTTTTCCTTTGTGCTCCTCCAGTTCCGGGGAACCTTCCTCCAGGTCGTCACTTATCAGACCAGCGCCGCAACTTAACTGTCGCAAACGCCGGTCTAACGGACGGACTCGTGGGGGTGTCAGGGTCAAAAAGTCTCGGAGTCCAGTTCGGCACCTACGTGCTAGACCGGGTCCCCGGTCCGGCTCTCGAGGTTGCCTTGTCCGGTTTCCTTTGGGGGCGAACTCGGGTGTCAACAATAGCATCATCTAATATGATAAATAGCATCATACACAATTAAAAATAGCATCCAATACAGTTCTCACACCAGAACTAGCTTTTATTTGAACCATCCCCTATATATATATATGTATATGATAGGGTTGGAACGAGACCAAGTTTTAACATGAAAATCACGAGAGCTGTTGTTTTCAAGTATGTCTACTGTTATGATTGTGGTAATATTAGTGAAATAGTCTGCTCATTTTATACAAGATAAATGTAAGTGGACCTCACTCCATGTGAGTGTTATATACACATCTATGTACATTTATTATGTACATGTAATATTTTCCAAGATAAAATATAGTAGTCACTTTTTGTAGAAGTATGAATAATAGTCGTTTTGCTCTGGCCAAGATAACCTTTCCACACTTTTTTAAACTCATAACCATTTTTAGAGTTTCAAAAATGATTCTAGTATTCAAAAATAATTTCTAGTATTTCATAAATGATTTCTAGTGTTTTCTAAAATATTTAAATAGTATCTTGAATTATATAACTGCTTTTTCGGATTCTAGAAATGATTTCTAGAACACATAAATAATGTCTTCAATTTTATAACTGAGTTATGAAATTCAAGAATGAGTGTCAGAAATTATACTTTATTTTTTTATTAAAGTTTTGTAGTAAGGGTAATTGTGTCATTGCACTGGACAAAATGGTTACTATTCATACTTCCACAAAAAATGACTATATTTTATCATTGCATTTGCTACTTGGCTATAAAACAAGGCATTGTATGATTAATTCTAGTTGATACTATTTTTAACCAAGACTTATTTCATTTAAATCGAAAACAAAAGGTATAATAATAATATTTGTATAAATGATAGCATCGTGTAATATTAAAATAACATCATACACAATCAAAATTAGCATCTTATACGATTCCCACACAAAAACTAATTTTTATTAGAAGCTGCAGTTATATATATGTGTATAAAATGAGTCAAATTTCGTGGTATACAGGTGATTTTATATGTATGTACAAAATCAGTCAAATTTCGTTATATATAAGTTATTCTTTATTTCATGCAGGGCAGGTAAAAGTTCCAAGGGTTGGTGTTGATACCTCGAGCATAAGGGAAAGGATAATGAACTTGTTTTGATTAAACTTCAAAACGTGCTTATTTTGTAAAACCAAGTGGTATCATATTCCACATGTGGGCCACGTGATATATTCAAATATATGTACTTTCTCTCATATTTTCATTTTATCAATCAATGTATTATTACACAATACATTTTAAGTTGCGTCTTTAGACTTTAATTGGTGTATTCTGCTTTTGTCCACATGATTGTACATTTGAATATGAAATAAAGCGCTATTTGATCGTCTTGTGATCAATATTCCTTCAAGATATACATTCTCATTTGGATGCGTACTTTCATGTATGTATACAATATATTCCCGTTTGTTCAAAAAAATATTTACAAATAATCTGTGCGTACGTTCATTTCTGTATATTAGGCATTACCATTTGTTTTACAAAATTACATATGATTTACACATATTCCATTTCATATTCTACAATGATATGGTGGAATTCTGTTTAGCACTTCCATAATATAATCCATAAATCATGCTTAAATTTTGAGTGGCAACTAACTTGGTAAATGTTGTCTACGTCATCATGCTCATCACTGTAGTAGGATAAAATATAAATTCACAAAAATTTAATTAGTAACTTTCTAATATTGGATATATAGTCATAAATGGATCTATAAATCTATGTACAAGTGAAAGTAAAGGATGTGATTTGATGGGTTATTAAATATTAATTACAAAAGGCAGCAAACCTTGACAAATTAAATAATAAATTAAAAATATAAAATAAGATGAATTTGAACAAAAACAGAGCACTCCTGGGTTTGTCCATCAATATATATTAATAAAAAGTTCAGTTCTTTATAACTATAAGACTACCTTGAAGAGCTATGAGATCCATGCAAGAACTAGTAAGAATCATTGTTCATAGCTTCATATGCCATTGCTTGATTTTCCAAATATCCACTCGAAAGAACAAAAGGAAGAACATAATTCCAAGTTCGCCCATGTGGACAAAAATAAAAATGTCTCTGACCTGAAAAAAAATGGCATGATGTCGCAAATTAATTTCGGGCCACAATTTTCAAGCAACTTTCATTTCTTGAAGTCTTGAAGAAAAAATGCAAAGTTAATTATGTCACGAATTATGAGATGTTTTTCTTCGTACCTGTTGATTGGAAGTTAACGTAACCCGTGTGGATTGAAATGTTTTCTTCAGAAAAATAAATCAGCCTTCATTCACAGGCAACTTTGAGTAGCTCATCCCATGTAGTAAGCTTTTCTCGAGGTTTATTTTTCAAACTCCCGCGCCTTTTCTCTTCAAGATCGATTTTTTCCCAGCCATCAAATGTTACGACTTTGGTATTCCTACAGTCTAGTAAATGCATAAGTCCTTCTCTCCCGGGCTTTGGTGAGTTTAACAATCCTTTCTCAATATCGGCTGAGATGCATGCAAGCTGCCAAATATGTTTTCTCATGAATCAAAAGACCTCATCATAAAAAACTATACAAATATTTAGTCTACTTA